GCGCAGAGCCAGCCCCAGTGTGGCCCCTGTGCCGTGCCCCCCTGCCATGATCGACGTGAGGAGAAATCCACTGTAGGCCAAGGCTCCACACTAACCTTGCGCCAGGCTGGAAGAGCAGCTGCCACTGTGCAAACAGGGTACCCTGCCACTCGCCTTAGCCAGGCCTAACACACCAGAAAGGGAACACCACATCACAGGGGTGACATGTCACTTAATTCCACTGTGAGTTTCCCATACAGGCAGTCTTCCCTGCTCCTGCTTCCTACTAGGGAGGGGCAGACAGAGCTCCCTTCCTGTCCTCAAACACTGCGGGCTTGGCTGTGTCCACAGGAAGGGCCTGTGGGCTAGCGCTGATGCCCATGTACATAGATTTGTAGTAGCTTTTATACATTTCTACTGTCACTTTCTAATAAAGTAGAGTGCATTTTATTAAATCAGGCATGTGCCTTAGTCTCTTATGTGAATATACCCATCACATATCAGATCAGCACCGATAAAAGGAAAATTAGCATTATCAGCAATTGGCTTTTTTTGGCCAGTGTAGCAAATATTGTCACTACTAAATGCCGCGTGCAGGTGTGTGGCTGTGCCATGCATGTGGCCAGGAATGCAGCTAGGAGAGCAACATCCTGTGGGTAAATTGGGCAGGGGGAGGGAGGGCAGATCAAGGCCCCCACTGTGAGGGAGGGGCAGGTGCTACCCAGCCAGGATGGTAAATGCAGCTGCTGGGAGCAGGACAGCTGTGGCTGCCCCCCAGACTTATACATGGGGTGAGGGTGGGCTGTGGGCTTGGGGCCAGGGGCTGGGCTGAAGCCACACTCGGGGGGGGGGGCAGCAGCACTGGGAGCAGGGGCTACGGGAAAATTTGGCTGGGGTGGCTGCCTTCACCCCGAGCACAAATCCAGGGAGTACGTGCCTCCCCTGGGATGCGTTCAGCAGTGGGGAGCCACCTGTGGCTCCGTCCTGCTCCTGGTGGGGTTACATTCACTGCCTCAACTGTGGGGGCCTTGATTTGCCCCATGCCCCTTCTCTCCTCCAGTGCCCCTGCCCCCCACCCAGATTTATTTGCCTGACCTGCTCTCCAAGCTGCCTGGCAGCCAATTTACAGGAATGCAAACGGATCAGTATCCAATATGGCCAGTTAATAATCAGCCATCAATATCAGCCAAGAAAACCTTTATCAATGCGCCCCTGATTGTAGGGAATTTCTTCTGTTCCCTTTTTCCCTGATGAAAAGCTCTTATTTTTATTTCCATATGGCCACAGCAAGCCAGGTTCAGTGCACAAGACACTATTCTGGATCTGTAGGTTTATGGACATAAGGCTTGGATTTTACAGCTGTGTCTGAAAGCTGCAGCTGGCCTGTGTTGTCCCTTCTGTGTGAATAGGAAGCACTCTCCTTGAGCCTGCAATCAGGTAAGTATAAGTCTCTTCAGGAGTGGATTAAGTCTGCCCCAGTGCTTCACACTGGCTGCCTCCTCTGCAGTGCATGGGTTTTGTAGATCCCAATCCTAGTGTCTAACTTTCCCATGGATTAGATGAGCAAAGCCACTGAACAGAGCTGTGGATTCCACAAGATGACAGTGCAGCACCTAGAAGTGCTGCAGTCAACACTCAGATTTTTTTGCAAATCCAGCCCCAAATCTCTTGAATGTCTTATGCTGAATGAAAGCAGAAGCCTCCAGCAGGGAAGAAGAATCCATTTTCTTATTACTCAGTAATTACAACTTTTTTATTCAACCTTCTGCCTCATTCATGCAAACACCTTTGAATAAGGCGGCTAGTCTTCTCCTGAACAGGGATACAAGTCTGCTCAACAGTAGCAATGAAGGATTATCTAGTTCACCTTCATTATCCAGAGGAAAGCAAAAGCAGTTGGAGGGGGAGGAGAGGCACAGGACAGAACTTGTTCTGCTGCTTTGGACAATCTACCTTCAGCCTCATCCAAGTCCAATAGTGACCAGGCCTTATAGGAGAGAACTACAAGGGGGCCTGGCCTGACCTTACTGTCACCTAAAGAAAACCAGTTATAGAAGTATTATATTCACCTACTGCTGTTGTTTGGCTTCCTTTTCTGGTTCAATAACCCCACTCCAAGCATCCTTATGGTTTCTCCCTTTGGAGGTGTGTTGAAGCTATGGGGAGATGTGCATTTTGTTTCCTGTGTGTAGAAGTCAAATCTACCCTCCTGCTAATGAAGAAGTGCCCCTCAAAACCACTCCACTCCCAGGAGCTATTGCATAGTATTACCCTCTAATACCTCTTTAAAGGTCATCACATCTTGTAGGTCAACAGCCAGGTCATACCCATTTTCCATCCCTACTGTCTAATAAGAGGAGTCTCTCTCAGTATAACTGAGCTAAGTGTGATTACATTTCAGACTAAAGTTATCATAGTTTCATAGTTCCATAGATTAAGGGTCGGAAGGGACCTAGAAGATCTTCTAGCCCGACCCCCCGCCAGGGCGGGAGAACAAAACCCCAAAACAAGAAATGGGACTCAAATGAGTCCAGCCAGGTAGGCATCCAGCCTCTTCTTAAAGACCCCCAGGGTAGGGGCCAGCACCACTTCCCTTGGAGGAAAACATGCTCAGATGCATGGAAGGATTCTGGCCAGACTGTCTGCTGAAAGAAGGGGGCTGGAGGAGGAAAGATCGCCCAACAGCAGCTTTGCTTTGCACTGCAGTAAGTTGTACTGGAACCTCTGGGCCAATTCCAACTTTCTTAAGAAATGGGACAAAGTAGCCATTCAACTTAATTTATTTTACAAAATAGCTAAAGAAAAATAAAAAAGTGACAGTTCCCCTCCCCTGGCTGGGCTGAATCCCAGTTCCAGCATGCCTGAAGGGAGCATTAGTGATCCCCAGCAGGGGTTAGAAACAATGGGCACATAGCTCCTGCTAAATTAAAAACCCTTTTTCTGGACTCCAGGCAGCTGTCCCCAACACACTGCCTCAGAGCTACCCCTTCCTGAGTCACATCCTGGCCTGTTGCTTCCAGTTAAGGCAGGGATTTCCAGGATGCTGGCTTCACTGGAGGCAGCAATCTATCACAGGCAGAGATCAGGATTTCCCACATGCTCAATACGGAACGTGGCTGGCAGTAAATCCTGCACAGAGGGCAAGGGAATCTCTCAACAGTCTGAGTTTCGTTATCCAAGCACCATCTAAGCCTGGCTTCCCACTTCAGCTGAGCAGCCTCTTCCGGGAGTAAGTTCTGCCAAGGGGCCGCCTCTGGAAAGCCATACTGTGGACCGGGGACACTTCCTGCTCTGCAGCACCAGGAAAGACATCCAGGTTGTTGTCTGCACAGGAAAGAAGAGATCTAACAAGAGCCTGACCCCAGTCACTTTAAGGCCTGTTCCCAGGAAACCCAATACCAGCTGGAAGCACCAAGGGCAAGCAACACAGCCCCTTTACTGCTTACAGCCAATCTTTCCACTGTCCTCTCCAAGGAGAATAGAGTTCAGCTTGGTCTATGCTTCTATGTAAAGCTTCTGAGGAGCCAGAGGGCATGGCCTGTCGAGTGCATACAGGAACAAGCTCCCCCTGCCCTGGCCCATTGCATACACATGCCTTCTGAGCAAGGACTGCACTACTTGTACCACTTCCCCCTGCGGACAGATCACAGGTCCATTTGAGCCCAACCCTCCCATATTAGGTGGTTACCTCCAGTGCACTTCCTCCAAGATGGTGGCGTTTGCCCCTGGTAAAGCAGCGGAGACTGAGTCAGTGCCCGAAGGCTGCTTGCCGAGAGGGAGCTCTTGACTGGCGGAGTTAAGCCTGGAGAAGAACATGGAGACATGACAATGCAGCCTTCCCATGAAGCCCTGTAACATGCGAGCACAGCACACAGGAAACTCATCCGTCCCCTCAGGTATGTCTCCAAGGGCCCATGACCTTACCCAAAATCCATAGGACTTTGCTTACAATACTATGGCTGTCTGCTTTCCTGAGGACCAGTAAGTGGTCAGTAGCTCTAGTAGGAATAAACTAAATAGAGCCACTATTAACATAGCTGCCATTAGTACTGGCCAACATGGCCTTTCTCCTGCCAAGAGCATTGCCACTTACATTCAGTGACACTTCTGATGAGACACCCAGCGACTTGGAGGAGGGTGTAAAAAGCACCCTGTTTAAATTTGCAGACGACACTAAGATGCGGGGAGAAGCGGGCATGTTAGAAGGAAGGAATAGGCTGCAACCAGACCTAGACAGGTTACAGGGGTGGGCGGATGAGAACAGGATGGGTTTCAACACTGACAAGTGCAAGGTGCTGCACCCGAGGAGGAAGAACCAGCACCATACCTACACGCTGAGGAACTCCCTTCTCGTCAGTGCAGAGGCAGAAAAGGATCTTGGAGTCATTATTGATGCCAAAATGAACATGGGCCAACAGTGTGGGGACGCGGTCAGGAAGGCCAACCGTACCTTGTCATGCATCCACAGATGCATCTCAAGTAGGTCCAAGGAGGTAATCCTCCCCCTCTATGCAACACTAGTAGGCGCAGTTGGAGTACTGTGTCCAGTTCTGGGCGCCGCACTTCAGGAGGGATGTGGACAACATGGAGAGGTTCCAGAGGAGGGCCACTCGCATGGTCAGGGGGCAGCAGGGCAGGCCCTACAAGGCGAGGCTATGAGACCTGAACCTGTTCAGCCTCCACAAGAGAAGGCTGAGGGGGGAATCTAGTGGCCGTTTACAAACTGGCCAGGGGGACCAGCATTGGAGGCTGGATGAACACCTTGCTGGGGTCATTTGACCCCAGTACGCTTTCCTGCCATGGCAGGGGGTCGGACTTGATGATCTGCTCAGGTCCCTTCTGACCCTACCAACCATGAAACTATGAGTTACCTGCAAACAAGAGCTGGGAATGCTAACAACTAGTTACATCTGGACAGCTACGCGCTGTTAGGTTGAAGCAACACACAGGTGCCTGCTCTGCAAAAATCTACCCCAGACTAACTTCAAGACATATGTGTAGTGTTAAAAACCATATGTGGAAAAAAGGTTGAGTAACAGAGCACGTTAGATTCCAGTGCTGTCCAATATCCTGTCCAAGGCAATAGAACTGTCATGACTTTCCATGGGAAGCCACATCCCAGGCAAAAACCATCTACCACTGCAACTCCCCCTATCATATCCAGCTTCTTGTCACCACCTAAATGACAACTTTTCCACCCTGGGATTCACCAGCCTTTTGCTACTGAAGAGCAGCAGCAGGATGTCACTAACATGACTAACAAATGACTGCAGACTTGGCCCTTCATCCTTTAGGTAAATGCCTCCAGTCCCTAGGTCTTTTATGCTCCTCTCAGATCCCTCTCCCATTTGCCAATATCCAACTATCAAGCTGCTCACAACTGATCACAATATCCCAAAATTCTAATACTGCTAACCTGGTCTGTGACATGGTGTTTCTGCATTAATCCGAGCCGCAATGCAACATAGCTTGCAGTCCCTCTTCCCCCACCTCCATCTCATTTCCTTTTAGATTATTTATTTCCCCACAAGCATTAGCTGTATCTTGCGGTTCTTGGCTAGACATGTCTCCTATCCCCCTTTGCATTCCCTGTACACATAGCTCCTCCCAATTTAGCATGTTAGATTTTCACTGATGTGCCATGCAACTACCTGAAGAAAGGAAGACTTCATCGTCCCCTAGGGAGCTCTGCTGCACTTGAGCTCCATTTGAGGATGCTTGGGTTGTACCAGGTAGCACCGTACAGGTTCCTCTTCTGCTGGTCTCATCTGTGGGAGAGGAGACCCGATCCAAGTCAGCAATACTTGTGCAAGACCTCTTTGCTTCCTGTCTGGTTTGCCCATGTGGAGACAGGCGCTGAAAAGCCCGTTTCCTAGATGTCAGGCCCAATGCATCCAGGGAAGTGCTCTCGGGAGCTCTGGGTTCTGAGTCACTGGGAGGTGACTGGTCCTGAAGCTTGTAGACTCCTTCCAGCTCAAAATCCACCAGGTTCGAAGCTTTGCTATTATAATCAGAGATTCTGGCTTCTTCGCCTGTTGACAGGCTTCCCACACAGTCCATACTTTTCTCGATTGGGCCACAGCCAGCATTTGTGTTGTGGCCCACTGCTTTTTTCTTCCGGGGCCAGTCTTTGATGGCATCAGGGGTAGTCTTGCCTTTGTGCTTTGGGGAAGGTGTCCAGGGCACTGCAGCATCCACATGGGAGGGGGAGGGAGTGGTCGAGGCACAGCTGGTGGGGGTGTACGACTGGCATATGTATGTTTGCCCTCCACCCTTCCCAGGCGTGGTATGGGAAGAGCGAAAACAGGAGGGTGAAACACAAGAAGCCGCTAGTTTCCCTGGGTGTCTGCTACACCAAGTGACTGTGAGATCATTGACAGGGCTTTCCTCCTCCCTGGGTTTCCCAGCCTTTGTTTCAGGCTGTCCTTCCAATGGTGAACAAGAGCCAATCTTTTTAATACGAAGCTTGGGTAGGCCAGAGGCTTGCATTTCTAGTTCAACCTCATAAGCTGTTGGGCTTGCAGGAGCCATATGACAGGGAATGTTTGGAGTGGAGAACCTGGCTGGGATTTCAGGATTCCCTAGGCGAGCGGCAGCCTCCCGCTGCCTTCTGTCCGCGGTGCAGCGCAGGGCATAAACAGGAGAGGCAGACATTGGTGTAGCATCCACATGGGAGGGGGAGGGGGTGGCAGAGGCACAGATAGCGGGGGTGTACGACTGGCATATGTATGTTTGTCCTCCACCCTTCCCAGGCATGGTATGGGAAGAGCGAAAGCAGGAGGGTGAAACACAAGCAGCTGCTAGTTTCCCTGGGTGTCTGCTGCACCAAGCGACTGTGAGATCATTGACAGGGCTTTCCTCCTCCCTGGGTTTCCCAGCCTTTGTTTCAGGCTGTGCTTCTAGTGGTGAACAAGAGCCTATCTTCTTAATATGAAGCTTGGGTAAGCCAGAGGCTTGCATCTCTAGTTCAACCTCATAAGCTGTTGGGTTAGCAGGAGCCATGTGATGGGGACTGTTTGGAGTGGAGAACCTGGCTGGGATTTTAGGATTCCCTAGGCGAGCGGCAGCTTCCCGCTGCCTTCTGTCCGCGGTGCAACGCAGGGCATAAGCAGGAGAGGCAGATGTTGGTGTAGTGGGCAAAATAGTCAAGCCAGATGAGGAACGTCTCTTATGAGTAAATGCCTTCTGCTGTTTAAACTCTCCTGTTGGTGAAACTGTTGTTTCTGGCAGGTCCTGGCTCTTCCCTGCTTGAGGTTCACTGGGGAGGGATGCCCTAGTGTTTGTGCTAGCTGAGGAGGACTCCAACTGCTCATGCGTCTCCACAATATCCAAGCTGTGCACTTGTTCTTTAGCAGAAGGTGAAAGAGAGGCATGCTCTTTCAGACTTTTCTGCTTCTCTCTTGGAGAGGAGCCCTGAGCTTCTAGACCCACTAGTTCCTTTCTCTCCACCATGGGAATTTTTCCAGAAGCCTTGAAAAGCCAGTTGCTTTCTGCAGAAGGCCTAACATTGGCATTACTGTATTGTTTCTCATTTCCTGAAGTCTTTGCAGGTAAGAGAGCAATATTTTCTTCTCCAGATTTGGTTCTACATTTGGCCTGCTCAGGGTCATGGAGCAGAGACCTGACTGCTTTCCTTGGGGAAGTATGAATAGCATTTGGAGACTTTAGAGAGCCTATGGCCAGAGCTTTTATGGAGGAATCAAGAGAATAATAATTAGATTCTTTCCTCATCTTTGAGGCAGATTTTGGAGATAAAGGAACACTCACTGGGCTCCTAGATTGTCTTGCAGGTGTACATCTGAATTTCCTGGGAGTTCTTTCTACTCCTTGAGGCACTGGCTCCAAACTGATATTTGACTCTGGATTTCCCTGAGTCTCTGTCTTGAGAGCTTGCCTTTTAGGACCAGCTGGAGATGCTGAATTTTGAGTGGATCTCAAGGAGCATCTGGGAGTTTGCAGATCTGTGGTAATTTTTTCTTGAACAGGAGATGAAAACTGGGTGGCTGTGCTTGGACTGGAATCTTTTAGAGGTGACCCAGATGCATCTAGCACCCCATTCACTGCCTGTTCTCTTGTTGTTTGTAACCTCACCTTCTTGTGAGGGGTGGAAAGTCTTTTCTCTGGAGAACAGTCTTTCCCAGGAGTTATTTGTACTAAACAATTTCTCCTCTTCTTGTTAAGTACAGGTGGTGACTTGTCCTTGCATCTAGAAGGGGAATAGAACTTGCCCAAACATTTAGCTGCAGACTGCTTGACAGCTGGACCTTTGCCAGGGGTCTTCTCCAGACTTTTTGGTGTTCTGCGCAGAGGACGAGGCGATTTCCTTGATGTTTTACTAGATGAGTTCAGTGGTTTCTGGGTAGCCTTGCGAGGAGTTTTTCTAGGAGTCTGTAGAAAGAAAATGAAAGAGACTGATGAAGTCTGTACTGTTCTCATGGTAGGCATTTTCATCTTGGCACCACTTCCTGAGAATAAAACATGGAAAATAAAACTAGCAAAAGATGAGACACAATTTAACTGAAGTCCTTATTCAAAGACAGCTTGAACTACATCTGTGGAAGGAGAGAGAGAGCGCAAGAGAGAGAGAGCGCGCGCGCGTGTGTGCAAGAAAATGTTTTTACCTGAAAGCTAACTGGCTTCTCTAATTCAAAAGAGTTGTGTCTTGTTCTCCTTGTTCCAGGTAAATCTTTCACCGTAGGGCTACTTACATCAATAACTGCTCCAAAAAGAAGCCTCTTGGGAGACTGGATGGTAGGCTTATTGGGATGTAGTGTACTATCTACAGAGGAAGAGAGGACAGTTAGACTGGAACCAAGAAGTGTGGGTCAAGAAAAACAGGCCATAATGCTCTTTTCTGGCTACCCGTTTTGTAACGGTCTGAGCTAGGGTATTATTGCTTTCTGGAACTAAACAGCTGAACTAGCACTTCTAGGAAGGGTCTGCTAGGACAAAGCTGATGAGGGAGAGAAAAAAAAAAATAGTGCAACTTCGTGTTTACCACCTTGCCCCATGTGACCCATGACTAGAGCCTACAGCTGCTCTGACAATACAGTTCCTAAACGCTTCAACATATAATTCTTCTGAAGAAATAAATGAGGAAGATTCCATCTGGGTGAGTCTGTGTTGTGCTGCCACATAGGAGACCTAGTCTGAAGCAGTTTTAGGATTTCAGTGCTTACTGAAGCCATGTTATATTTAACAGGAAGTAAGCAGTGGGTCGGGCAGCCAAACTCTTTCCTAGCTGCCAGAGTAAATCTCTTTAATCATAGGAGCCACTGCAATGCAACTCCCAGTACAAAATACTATACTTGGTGGGGCTGGTCTTTTCTGGCTATAAAGAATGTTACGAAACGAATCTCATCTCAAGTAAACGACACCTTAAAACCTCAAGAGTGTCATCTCTTACTCACACCAACCAAATGCTGGCTTTGCAGGCCAGCAAAATGGAGCTCTGTACTTCCAATACCTAAGTCCTGGTGAATGGAGGACTCTTCTTGCTGCCCTATACACACTCTTTGCGTATTCTGCGAGTTGGACTGTGTTGTAGAGTAGAAAAAGCCAGAGTGTGTCCTATTCAATGACAGCTGTTTGATGCGTGGGCTTCTTCTTAAACCCCCATCTGCAAGACAAGAATACCATCAGGGCACTGCTCTGATTTACATGCAACACCCTCCAGGAAGACCCCATAGCTGGCAGACAAGCAACTCAGGAAGGAACAAGGAGGCACTTTTTAAAATTTTTCAATGCAACTTAAGAGAGCTAAGAGTTTCACAACACTCAGCAAGGAGTGAGATATTCATGTCAAAAATAAGGAAAGATTCTAGCTTGGAATCATGCTCTGCCTCCCTCAAGTTCTTCATTCAGATTTCAGTTAGAGAAGTTATTTGCTCCCCTCAAAACTGTTGTACTAACTGTGTCAAGCATAGAACCACTAGCATCTTCTGCTCCAGGGGTGACTGCATTTCACCTGCAGGAAAACAATCTTCATATATGTTAATATGGAGTACTGAGGACCAAGTTGGCTGATGTATGTCACAACACTGTCTGCTGTGACATGGTAAAAAGGGAAGATAGTCCATGTATATTAAAATTAACACTCACCACTCATGGTCTTCTCAGGAGATTCTTCTACAACACTGATATCAGAACCTGGATCAGAACTCCTGGGAGAGACATTTCATGTTTCAGAGTCACCAACATCATCCATGTTCACAAATAAAATAACAAATCAAGAACTGCACAGAGCACCACTTGTCAAAGCTACGTGGAACTACACATTACTCTCCAAGTGTCATCAGAACTTATCATCCCCTCCCAAGTCTCTAACCAAAGGACATCCTTCCAGCTGTGGCACAGATTAGTGAACATCAGACAGGAGCAGTCTCCACAAACTGTCCACGTTTTGGCCATCAAGCTCTTGGTACAGGAATTCAGAATTACCACATCTTATTTGCTCACCGGCCTTTGATCTGTTTATGAAGCAGTCTCCTGGAGATTTGCTTGTGCAGTGGTGTCTCTGCAACTCTCTTGGTTAGTAGCTTGCGATGGTCTGAAATTGAAGGAGCAAAGTACATGGTTAGACTGAATCCACGAGGTGACTCCGACTGAGGAAGCAACAAGAATTTGAGATGCATAAGATCTACATTAGTTTTCGTGTAATGTAAGTGAATAGCTTTAGACTTCATTTTAAAAGCACTGCAAGGAAAGCCCCCCAGCTCTCATAACTCCCTTCACACACTGTCACAGGGCAGGGCCCAGGAGTGGCCGTGATCTCTCCTGCGCCCCTACCGTGCCAAGTTGCCCTTCTAGCACCCTCATCTCGCCCGCCACGTCTTTGCTGTTTATATAATATTAATGGGAGGCTGCCTTTCCTGGGCTTCTCAGACCCAGTGCTCTTGCCCTATATGGATATCTCTTGGTACACCCAACCTAGGGCGTCGCGTGGCTCCTTCCGCCCCCAATACCACGCCCAAGCCTCGCCGGTGTTCCGGACGTTCTCGTGTCTCTATGTACGCGCCCTCCCTGGGGCCTCTCCAGTATACGCGCGCCCTCCCTGGGGCCTTTACCTGTGCGCCCTGCCCTGTCCGGGCTCTAGGCCTCCTCACACCCCTACAGCCTCACCCTGTCCTCCGGTCTTACACCAGCAACCCAACAGAAACTCAAAGCCATAAGCCACCCGGCTGTAACTCAGAATAAGCCTCCTGGCTATAACATACGCTCCGCGCTGCCCTGGCTATTCTCCATCTCCCTGTCAGGGTTCCCTCCACCCCATATCATTCTGCAGAGGCTCGGCAGTCAGGCAATCAGGCTGCTCTGCTCTGCAGCAGAGCTGTTGCTCCTCCAGCTTCCAGAGGGGAACTGCCCACTAGGCTATGGCCTGGGCTGTTTATAAAGGTCCGGCCCTGCCCCCTTCTGGTCACCTGACCAGCACAGTTGCCCCAGCAACCGTCACCTGAGCTGCCCTAGTGATTGGCAGCCAAGACCTATTACCAATGCCAGTAGCAGGCACCCTAGTACCCTGCTACACACACCTTCCATTTTAAATTTATATAGGAAGGTTTCTCTGACACCTTGGTACAAACAGGGCACATGTCTGATATAACTAACCCATTCATTTATTGTTCACATTTACCCCTCTTTTCATTTCTCTGCCTTATTAAGCCGCAAATCCTTATTCTTGAGGCTATAAGGTAGTTAAAGAACCAAGGCTTAAAAGTAGTTTTTTAGGGCAGGATGCCTGTCTCTCCAAAGATCTGTACAGCAATGAGCCTTATTAGGGTATATAGAAAACAACTAGTAGCATCAGTAACTTAAATTGCAAGGCCAAACCAGCATTTTCATTGAGTAATTTAAGTGAAGAGAATAGAAATATTGATGCCTATTATCATAGTTTCATAGTTGAAAGGGTCAGAAGGGACCTGAGCAGATCATCGAGTCCGATCCCCTGCCATGGCAGGAAAGAGTACTGGGGTCAAACGACCCCAGCAAGGTGGTCATCCAGCCTCCTCTTAAAAGACCCCCAGGGTAGAAGCCAGCACCACTTCTCTTGGAAGTCAGTTCCAGATCCTAGCCACCCTGACAGTGAAGTAGCGCCTCCTGATATCTAGTCTGAATCTACCCTCTGCCACCTTGTGACCGTTATTTCTAGTCACTCCTGGTACTGCTTGGGGAAACAGGGACTCCCCCAATACCTGCTGGTCCCCCCTGGCCAGTTTGTAAACGGCCACTAGATCCCCCCTCAGCCTTCTCTTGTGGAGGCTGAACAGGTTCAGGTCCCTTAGCCTCTCCTTGTACGGCCTGCCCTACTGCCCCCTGATCATGCGGGTGGCCCTCCTCTGGACCCTCTTGATGCTGTCCACATCCTTCCTGAAGCGCGGCACCCAGAACTGGACGCAGTACTCCAACTGCGGCCTGACCAGTGTCGCATAGAGGGGGAGGATCACCTCCCTGGACCTGCTCAAGACGCATCTGTGGATGCATGACAAGGTATGGTTGGCTGTCCTGACTGCGTCCCCACGCTGCCGGCCCATGTTCATTTTGGCATCAATAATGACTCCAAGATCCTTTTCTGCCTCTGCACTGACAAGAAGGGAGTTTCCCCAGCCTGTAGGTATGCTGCTGGTTCTTCCTCCTCAGGTGCAGTACCTTGCACTTGTCAGTGTTGAAACCCATCCTGTTCTCATCCGCCCACCCCTGTAACCTGTCTAGGTCCGATTGCAGCCTATTCCTCTTCTGGTTTGCCCACTTCTCCCCACATCTTAGCGTCATCTACGAATTTGAACAGGGTGTTTTTTACCCCCTCGTCCAAGTCGCTGATGAAGATTTTGAACAGTGCGGGCTGAGGACCAAGTCCTGGGGGACCTCACTGCCCACATCCCTCCAGGTCAAAAATGACCCGTTCACCACCACTCTCTGCGTGCGGCCCTCCAGCCAGTTAGTGACCCATTTGACTGTGTAGGTGTTGACGCCACAGTCCCCTAGTTTGTTAATGAAACTGTATACATTTCTCTTATGAGATTTGTCTTTGTGAGACTCCACAAGGTTTTCAATTAACAGAGTTTGTTTGGATTTAAACAGTGCAGGAAATAATATTTTAGCTGGATCTTGCCATACATTTGATACGGAGGAGAAGGTATCTGCTCTGAAGTTGGAGTTACCAGAAAATAATTTTTCTTTCTTTGGTGGGTGGGAGCGATGAAGAAAAGATTAACTACTAGTAGGTGCAGTGTGTTGGAAGCTCTATCCTACCTCTAGTGCCCTCATCCGAGTAGCTGCTTTTGTGCTTCACACCTTCCACAGCAGATACTGACTGACTTCGAGGCATCTTCTTTAGAGACCTTGTTGATGGAGAAAGCATAACCTCATTGAAGAGGTTCCTTCTCACCTTTGTCACCTCTGAAAACAACACAGAGCAAGAAATGAGCAGATATACAATAGAAACGTAATTCGCTCTTAATGCAATGCAGTTAGAAAGGACATAAATAAGCCTACACTGGATACTAATGAAAGCAGATAACCTTCCAGGAGTGTAAAAGAGCACTGAAAAGCTGGAAAATATCATTGGCCATGCCGTCCCCATCCTCCTCCTGGATTTCTTTTGAGTTAATGTCTCTGTGCTTTCTAGCTATATGGTGCTGTCACAGGCTAAGGAGAAAGCAGCTACTTGGAGTTCCAGATGCCAAATAATCTCTATTAGGATTACTAGAAATATAGGCTTTCAAGAATCTGAGCTATAGCAAGGGGTGTTAGAGATTTATTGCCTTATACTATGTGTAAATAATATAGTGTCATTTTTGTGCATACATAAGTGTGTAGAGTGAATTCACTCCAACTCACACTTTTCCTCAGACCACTTTCTCAACCTATTTATTTGTATATAATGAAATCAGTCTAAGCAAAGACACACACAGCTTTTCTGTGAAATAAAACAGAAGCCTTCATACCTTGTGCTGCCTCTTTCTGCAAGGCAGGCATCTGTGTGGGTTTCTCAGCAGCAAGGTAACAGCGAGAATTTTCCTGAAATTAAGAAGTAGCTTGATTTACTTAAGGGTTAAGCTGCTGTTTTTTTTATTCGTAAGAATCAAGCCCCTCCCCTGACCTCCCTAGAAGTTACATTTACACAGAATAGGTTATCAAGTTCTGCCTCAGAATGAGGTCTGGGTAGCTCGTCCTATGCACTCATTCAATGGGTAAACAACATTTGCAAGATCATGGATTCTGCACTTCTGTTTGGGATCAAAATGCTGCTGTGCCTGCAGAAGCTGCCTCACCTAATGCCCTATGGGAAAGCTTTACCTTTCTGATGAGATTCTTTGGAATTTTGGGCATTTCAACTTGGCGCAGGTTTTGTGACGTTTCTGTCATACTCCTGTGTCTGGCTAAGGCACTGTTCCTGTAGCAAGGACAAAAAAATGCAATCACAATAAAAACAGAGATGCAGTTACCAGCTATACCACAATGTCATAAGCAACTTATTTGAGTTTGCTTCTACAGACGGGTGATTCAACTTCTCCCCACACAGGTAAAATGGTGTCTCTTTGGGATACCAATGATGTCACGTTATCTGTATTGTGAGGCACCTTTAGATGTTTGAAGATAAACAACCTCAACTGGGGCCCAAAGCCAAGGCTGAAATGCTTTTCATTTGTGCAAAAGCACACAGACTAGACCAGCCACTGGTTAGGGATCCTGAAGTAATCAATTCAATCTTAGCCACAAATTCTCGGGAACCCTATAAGCTCCTATAGCCAAGCATAACGATTTACATGGAAAAGACTTACAGATTTGCCTGGGTATTTTATTTTTATATATATGTTATTGCACACACACAAGTGATGCTTAAGGCTACAAGGTCCCATAGTGTGCAGAACTTTCAGCACCGAAGGAGCTAAACTGCAGATTCATTGTTTCTGTGGGCTCCCTTTAGCACCTTTGCAACCTACTAAGTAGTAGAATTTCTTTAAAAAGAAAAAAAAAAAAAGAAAAGAAAAGAAATCAAATCCAAGTGCTACAGTACCACCACTGAAGCACAAAATGCTTCCTGGGAAAGAAACTGGGAAACCAGTTATAAAAAAAAACGGTGAAGCAGCATTCCAACTCTGTTACCAACCAACTAATCAGTTGCACAATAAGCAGTGCTTGCTCTGATGTCACATGGTACAAGATATATACACCTGCATTAGGTGACTAACACTAATTTTAAGGAAAGAAGTTTGCTGACTGTTGAAGTGTTATACTCTTGTAAGTTTAAACTGAGTCAGAGGCCCAAACCACAATTCTCCATTAGCAGCCATGGCAGTACAAAGACAATGACCACCCTCCAAGTTAGGACATAGTCCCAGAAGCAGATACTTAACAGGTAATGCACACACAAGATCAGCAATTTTCAGACTGCTCTGTCTAGTTATCCAACAAGAGCCCACCAGGACAGGGACCATAACTGCTGTAGCTAATCAGCCAGAGGACTTAGGAATGAAGCAAACCACTTCCCCTCAGTTATCACCTCCTTTTCTTGGCAGATCTGGTGCGCAGTTCCTCCAGCTGTTCCGTCTCTGTGCTTGGAGCTGCGGCTGATGGCAAGGATTGGGGATGGGTTGGAGATTTGCTATCCATAGTCATGGAGTCATCACTAAAAAAGTCTGCAGGCAGAACAGATGCCAGCTTCAGGGGAATCTGTGTGCCCAGACTGTAGTAAAGATTCCCAAGGATCCTCGGTATAGAATCCATATACCTGGAATGTACCATGCAGTATGTTAAACACACAATTAACCCCCCAATTCCATCTCCTGTGGGCTTTCACTTCCATGTTTTGTACCAGGCCTTTATTCAGAGTTATAAGATCCTGCTCAGACTGGACAACTCCCTGTTTTTGATGGAAGAGTAAAAGCTCTGTTATCCTTTCCTTAGCCATCAGGATAAAGTGGACCAAGTAGAATAAGTCTGAGCTAGCACATTTCCAGGATAGTCTTACAAAGCCATCTTAAAATCAACACTCAAAGCTTCATTGTTTGTCCATGACAAGAACATAAGCTTATATGCCCTGACAGCACTTAGTATTTGGTCATTATCATAAAGCACTTACAATGCTAGGACTTCCTCCAAAAACTTCGTAAGGTATCCTGGGTCTTCAGCCAGACACAAAATACGCAGCATCTCCGTCATCTGTAAGAGAGGATGAAATTAGGAAAGAGTCATACATCAGTAACTTCCAACAAAAGACTCTTTTATTAATGGTGGAAACAACAGAGACCATGTTGAGCAAGCTATAGGTTTCTGGTCAGCGACCCTATTTCTAACTAGAACACAGCCAGTGCAGTTTACTTGCCTCTTCTACCAGTTGCTCCATTTCATCTGTGCTGCTCTGTAGCAAGGGGCACTGCAGGCACATCTCAAGGCGCAGAAATATCTGAAGCTGACACCTATGCAGAAACAGTAAGTAGTCAAACTCTTTCCAAACTATAATATTCACTAATAAACCTTAAAAAATGGGCTTTTCTTCTTTTTCAGCATAGATGTGGTTAGTCATCTTCTCTGAAAGCATCACTTTTTATCATAAGAGCCTGTAACACGCTTCTCTGTATAGCAAGATGTACACTGAAGGGAAATTAATTCACCAAGGCAGACAGTACCTAGGGTTTGCCGCAGAAATGCATTTCTAATTGCAATAGTGTGACAGGTAAAGCAACTACCCAGTACTGATGCAAACTGCAAGTCACAGTAAATAGAGTATCGTCTCTCTTACTCTCTGACTTTGTTTTCCTTGCCAGGATTGGTACCATACTCTTGTCGGAGGGCTTTGCTGGTCTTCAAGAGATGGCTTCTGACTCTGTCCACACAGGCTACCTAAAGATGCACAGAACAATACTTCAGAGGCTCACAGGTACTTTCACTCCTCATATGGTAAATTCTGGCTCTACTCTATTTAAATGTATGGAAAGCAGCTCAATTCCAGATTCAATTACTCCTTTTCCTAGGGGCAGGGTTACCTTTTTTTTTCCCTTTCTTTTTTAAGTGGTACAGGAAGTAGTAGGATGACAGTGAACAAAGGAAAATATAGACCAAAAGTCATATGAGAGCTGCCACTCATCAGTCAGTCAGACATACAACAAAATAATCTTCATAGCATAGGACACGTTAATGAGAAAGGACAAAGGATCATACACTGGCCTCTGGCAAAGGAAGGATTAAAATGATCTAACAGGCCTGTTACCATCTCTAATTTCTGTGAATTATCAGGTAGCATTCAAGCACACCAAACCAATATTATCTCAATGAAATATTCGTCTACAGTTCTGGACTCATTAAAAGTAAAATCCAACTTGTGAGCTTTTGGGAGGCAGGAAAAGCTGCACACATGGATTGGGTTTTGATTCCAGGAGCCTCAAAGCAGTTTTGAAATTGTGTTCCAAAAAGGCTTTTTGTCTTCATTATTTATGACCTGGCCAATTTTTGAGTGTCTATGTACATGCTCCGGGGTGGGGGATGTGGCATTTTAACTAGAGCTCCCACACAGCTGCTCAATTAAAGTACCACAGTGTCACATGTATTAAGCCCCCATGTGTTTAAAAGTGACCATGGGATGCTTTATCTAAAGCTGGTTAAACGAGGTCTAGATAAAGCACCCCCAACAGCCATTTTAAAATGCACAGGGGCTTAATACACATGAAGCTGCAGCAATGCTGCAGCGTTCTAATTAGAACACAGAGCAGACTCGATTAATTGAGCCTGTTCCAATGCATTCTAATCAGAATGCCAAGGAGCACGTGTTCAGGTAGGCTTTGTTTCTAAATAAGCTCCAGAACCCCTGCAGCCATTTCTTATATCACTCACATAAATACATTTTCCTTTTAAATAAGTATCAAGTCAGTTGACTTGAGTTCACAAACAATTTTCCTTAGAACTCCAAAGTAATATATTCATTACAGCAGCCTGATCCTTATGTAAGTTACCCAGTCCTGGCAGAAGAACTTAGGTTTCTTATTTTCTATAGACACGCACATAAAAGTAAGATGAAATTGTAGAGTTACAAAAACGGTACGAGTTTTTCTTTAAATTCAAGCTTCAGTAGTGAACCTCAGGTATAATTTTCATTAAAAGCTCACACCTCTGGAATCCCAGAGCCTGAGGTTAGGTGCCCATAGATCCTTATCCTCACATGGAATTAACTGGAAAGACCTGTGTTAACTGACAGCATATGCACATGTGAACAGGTTTCCCTACCTCTTGCTCTGGGGCATCTTGTAGTTTCAGAAACCTTTTAATGGCCAGGACCATATTCTCGGCACATGCACACAAGAGAATATCTCCCTCAGTCACAGCCTTCTGGTAGCTTGCAGTTAAATGGGAAAGCATCTCATCCTCCGTTTTGAAATCTGGAAGATATGCAACACAAAGTAACTAAAAGCAAGCAGTAAAGAATGGACAGAATTGGCTACCCTTTCCAGTTAGAAGCTGTTAAAAAGAACAGCTGTTTTCTTGCAAAGAGATGGACAGACCACAAAATTTACCAAAGGAAACATTCTGAACATAGCTCCTCCAATAGCTCTGTGAAATCCAGTCACTACAAAAAGTCCAGGAGAGTAACTGTCAGAGAGAAAGAGCATCACTTCTGCTGACCTGAGGAGGAAGAATCCTAAGCCCAAGACAGCTACCTTGGTAGGCTACACAACTATTTACTCTTCCTGCTATCTCCATATACCCTGCCACAAACTTGAGTTGACAACCCTGTCCAACACATACCTTTGGGGATTTTCAGGGCTCTTCCTCTTTCTTCCAGCTTATCATCTGATCTCTTTAATGACAACCGCTGAGGCACCTTCTCACCAGCTGCTGGGGGCACACCATCTGGCTGAAATTTCTGAGCCTTGACATTCAGTCTTGCTACATTGAGCATCTGCAGGGAGCGGGACATGGTCTTCATCTTCTGCCGGACTGGAGTTCGGGGCACTCCACCTGGAAAACACATGTGGTGAGTTTCTTCAGGCTCTGGCTACTTAGAGTTCTGAGACTGCCCATCCACACTCACCATCTAGCAGAACAATGGCATTGAAAGGCAGAAGGCATCGAGTAATGACATTTTTATAGTTTTTACTGTCTTTAAATCTACAAATTTCAGCAGTCAGTCTCCTTTTCAAACTATGGCTCTCCAGTAAGCCAGGAAAAATGGAGGCTGCCAACTCAGAGCTGTGATGTTTTCAGTTTGCTTGTCATGAACACGGAACATTATGTCACAAACCCCCAGTGTAACTCTTAGGCACAGATACCTGTTGCATTCTCAGTCATAAAAGGACCAGTGGCCAGAGTGTGTGCGCTCAAGGTACCCTACAGGAGAGTTGGGACTAGAAGAACAATCCCAGAAGAGTCAAGAAAGTCAGTGGTAAAGGGCCTTATTTTAGAGAAAAATGAAAACAGGAATACTCAAGTGGGGAAAGTTATATGCAAGGAACTTGGGTTGCTCTAAGACTATCCTATTGAAACCTATGTAGAAACAGAATTGTTTTTAATTTCAGAAAATGAGTTTTACCAGTTTCATAAGAGACTTCGATTAATTTATTATTTAAATGCTTCTGCCTAATAAAGGTTTTCTATGTTTTCTAATGACTTAGAAAAAATAAACCCTTTGAAAGTCCTACCTTTCCTTCCTGTTCCCTTAGAAGTCGGAATGACTCATGTCTTCCAAATGAATTCAGTATGTTTTTTATTATGTATTTCTAAACCAAATGGGAGCCTGAATATAAAAACGTGATATCATAAGTACAGAAGCCCTGCTAAACAAAAAGAAGGAAATACCTCAGAGTTCACTTTGTTGTGTATGCAGTTCCCCTGCTCTATACTGGTGGGGTTAACTTGCAAACTGAAACATAGTAGCAGTTAACCCAGGACATACAGGCAGTCCTCAACTTCCAATGTTTTGCACTTACAAGGTTTATAAATTGACACCCTGTTTCAAATTTATGACATCAGCTTCCACTTTACAACACTTGATCTGATGCAACGCCACACCAGTGAACAAGTTCGCTTCGTCACTCATCTCCCTGGAGAACATCTGTCCAAACTTCCTTGGACACTTTCTTTAAGAAAGTGGACAAGGGTCCAGAAAAGCCTGCAGCCAAGACTCCTGAGAAGGCTCCACCCAAGAACCCTTCAAAAAGTCCAACCAAGAGCCTTTCAAAAAGTCCAGCAAAGTCACCTCAAAGCAGTCCTTCCAAATCAATATGATTGCTATTTACAATATAAATACATTAATGTAGCTATATTACTCATCTATAATTGATCAAGTACAAAGTTCTGGGGTATTTCTGGTGAAAATAGGGTATCGGGCGTGGGTTCAGGAACCAATCCCCTATATATAACATTGTTCCTTATGAGAAAATTGGTTCCAAGTTACATTTCAACTTAAGACGTGGTTTTCAGGAACCAGTTGTGTTGCAAGTGCAAGTACTAAGAAATGTGCAATAATTAGCTACTTAAAAGGGGAAAAAAAGGTTAGTGTTTTATTTTTTAAAAGGGAACAAAGTCATGTCTCTGTAGTTGCGAAAACCCAGAGGAGCTGTCCAGTTCAAGCACAATAAATAAAGATTCATAGATGCTAGGGTCAGAAGGGACCTTCAAAGGACCATCGAGTCTGACCCAATGCCAGGAAAAAGTGCTGGGGTCATGTGACCTCAGCCAGGTGCTTGTCCAGTCTCCTCTTGAAGACCCCCAAGGTAGGGGAGAGCACCACCTCCCTTGGAAGCCCATTCCAGATTCTGGTAACCCTAACCATGAAGACGTTCTTTCTGATGTCCAGCCTAAATCTACTCTCTGTCAGCTTGTGGCCATTGTTTCTGGTTATTTGAAGGGGTGCTCTGGTAAACAGAGCATCTCCCATTCCCTGCTGGCCCCCCACCCCAGTGAACTGAACACATACAATTTTCATGTTGCTTCATTACTGAACGCTGTTCTTTCAATAACTAACTCTTTAGCCTGACTGGGTTGCAAGTGAGGCCCAGGGCTCATTTTATACACAATGTATATAAAAGTAATGATACCCCTTAGCAAACAAGTTAAATCACCAAAACCCCTTCAAAACTGTTTGCTCAGGAGAGGGCAGTCTTTAGGTTCCGTATAGAAGCAAAGCTCTGGTTGGGAACTGCAGAGGGACACAGGAAGAGCATGGGAAAGTTCAGTACCAGCATAACCTATTACATACGTACGCCTTTTTTTGTAATCCCGTGGCCCAGATGGCACAGATGCTTCACCAGATTTCTTCAGATAGAATTCAGACAGACAGTTTGTCAGCTCTGCTTCAGGCTGGGATACCTCTTCCTTCTCACCAACAGAAACAGCCTGCAGCAGCCTGAGCAGTTCAAAACAGATATCAGCAGCAGCACAGAATGGGGAACCCACTGAACGTTGGCCATACCATTTGAGTTGTCAGCCCCAGTGCCCCTATCACCTAGAGAGCTTGCCCTGTCGTCCCGTCCCCTACCACACACTTTTTTCCAGATCCCCTGCTGCCCTGAACACTGCTGGAACAATGCTGATAAAGGCAGTGGAATATATTTATTGGGTCGTGCCAAGTAGGGGGGTTTCTATGTTTCACTCAGGAATCCCTTTGTGAGAATTTCACGATGACAAACCTTGAAGGGCTGAAGTCTGTAGTTTGTCTACCTTTAGGTATTTCTAAGGCACCTATCATCAGAGTACCTAAGCACCCAAGTCTGCTTTAAGAGTTAAATCAAGATTCCTGGTTTCTAACCCTGGTTCTTACTTCAAATAACCTGAGGAATACAGAAAATTGGCACATTAACACACACCCACCTAACAAGCCATTTATCTAGAGCTGTAGAAGTGCAAGGGACTTGGACAAAGTCACAATGTCTCTGAATAGTATTCAAGAAAATTACCTGAATGACTCCATCAACTCTGAGCTTGCTCCACAGACACTGGATAAAGGGTACCACCCTTCAACTGCTGCAGGACTCCAGCCACCTGTGCGGGACAATTCTTGTTGGACCCATTCTGGGACTGGAGTTTCTCCTGGACAGACAGAGATGAAACAAGTTAGAAGGTAACTCAAGAAACGTCATGTGGCATTGCTAATCAAAAGCCTCTACAGCATCTGCTCCTTGGCACAAATGACCATTCCTTAGTATTACTCTTAGTAAAGCAAAGATACACTAGCATAACACTGCTGTGAAAGTTAGTGCATTGTGGCCCGAGCAGATAGCCAGACAGAGCAAGATCCAAAGGTAGACAGCCATTAACTATCAGAGTCTGAGCGGTCAAATTTGGGGACTATCAAAAGGAGATTTTCTGTCCATTTCACTTTCCTTACCAGAACTAGGCAGACCGTCTTCAGTCAGGGAATCAATTTCACTCAACACACTGCTCACTATATCCGGGAGGTCAAAGGAGTAGTCTTGGGAAGAGTTCTCTCCTACTGTTCCTTGGAGGAGGCGTCTCTGAACTTCAGCTGCCTTTTCACTGCAGAACACAGTAAGAACTGCAGCACAGTCAGAGAGTGGGGACAGAACACCAGTGCAGGGGGACCAAGCCTCAGATGCAGATACTTCAGCAACCTGTACAAAGAGAAAAGATGCCTAGGTTATCTAGAGCTATGCATACAAACCAAACCACCCCCGAGAGGGTGGGAACCTAAACCAAGGCCAACAGGCAGCTCATAGCTAGAACTCTGAATTGTTTTTCAAACGGGTTTTAAAACTGCATGGTGCAGGCTGTTATAATATACTGGCAACACTACTAACAGAGCCCTCACTGCTGTAATATAATGCCTATTATCTCCTTATATTGGGTGGTTTCCAGAAAGTGTATTAATTGAGTCTGGAGAACAACATTTACCAAGTATAACTCTTCTGTCGTTAGCCTTTTTACAAGCTGCTGAAACAATGCATCTTCCACAGATTGTCCTGCCTGGGAGCTCTGCAGGATCCAGCTCTCTGTAAGAAAGCTGCCAGCTTGTGTCAAATTCCAGTCCGTCAAGCTGCCTTTCAGGAAGATACTGACTGGACTCCGGAAGTATCTCTG